CTACTACTACTACGACTACTACGACTACGACTACGACTACGACTCCGACTACTACTACTACTACTACTACTACTACTACGACTACTACTACTACTACGACTACTACTACTACTACTACTACTACTACTACTACTACTACTACGACTACGACTACGACTACTACGACTACTACGACTACTACGACTACTACGACTACTACTACTGCTACTGCTACTACTACTGCTACTACTACTACTACGACTACGACTACGACTACGACTACGACTACTACTACTACTACTGCTACTACTACTACTACTACTACTACGACTACGACTACGACTACGACTACGACTACGACTACTACTACTACGACTACGCCTACTACTACTACTACTACTACTACTACTACTACTTCTACTCGTCGTCCTTCCCATTTTCTCCTCGGTCTTCGCCTCCCCTCCCTAACAGCCTTCATGAGCGATGTCGCCCTCGCCCTGCCACGGCACGAGCTCGCGGCTGCCACCAATGCCGGCGGCGGCCGATATCTCGGTGTCCGTCTGGAAGCCCCCTCTCTTGAAGCGCGAAACCTGGCGGACCGCTCGCTGGGTGCTAAACGCCAAAGACAAGAGTCATGGAACAGACAGGAAGCCCAGATTGACCCATCCCCAGGCCGCAGGAGGAGGAGGAGGAGGAAGAGGAGGACGAGGAGAAGGAGGAGGAGGAGGAGGAGAAAAAGGAGGAGAGGGGGGGGAGGGGGGAGTGCAAGCTTGGCGCGATCGCGCCATATCTGACGTCCTACCCGTCCCTCGCATCCCTTACCATGGCGTAGATGTCCTCTCTATTCGGACATTCGGATGTCGAGACGGGCACTGATCGCGAGAGGGTACGCGATGCATGGTACACCACGGCCTGGCATGGCGTAGAGGAGCACGGCAAAACGTAACATGCCATAGCATGGCGTGGCATTGCGCAGTGAAGCATTGCATCTCAAAGCATTGCAACGCAAAGCATGGCATCGCACAGCGGCGCAGACAGCAGCGCCGCAAAACATGACATGGCATGGCGCCGGGCTCGTTGGAGTGTAAGTGGATCGTGGGTAGTTGGATCGTGTGAGAGGTCTGGGCCGGTGTGGAGTCGTTGCTCCATGTCTAGCTCCTTGGGCTCCCCGAGAAGCACCACACAAGGCGGAGTTGATAGAGAGCACCCGTTGGCTGTGCTTCCAACATCGCTTTCTCAACTCAGAAACGGGGTTCCCGTTTGATCTTTCCTGAAAACGACGACGCCCCAAAGTGGGGGCCCCAAAAATCACCGAATCGACACCGAATGTGTAATCACTTCCGGTGATTTTATCGGGGGGGGACATGTTCTAGATTTTGGGGTCTATCTGGAAGCAGCGGGAACACGATTTCGAACAACCAGAGGCGCAGAAATGGGGCCAGCGCTTCGGCGGGAACAACATTTTGAACAGCAGAAGCACTAGCGAAAATCCATTGCCCAGAAGTCCTGCGTGTAAAAAAACCGTAACCGGAGGGGGTCGGATGTCTTCCGGACGTCATCAGGGGATGGAGGAGAGTACACTCGACCACGATAGTAAGGATGCGCGGCAAGGATGCAAGGGCCTTGGAACGCCATGTTGACGTTTTCCGTGCCGCAGAATGCCGAAGGATGCCGAATACCAAAGGGGCAAGGATGCAAGGGTAGCCTTGGAACGTTGCCCCATCCTTACTATCATGGTTGACTGTGGCATTCATAATGTAATTGTGGAGTGGGAGGGGGAGGGAGAAGGGGGAGGCGGAGGATGGCGAGGGCCGAACGCTCGTGCCTCCTCTGAGAGTGACAGCCATTGGGGAGGGACTGGCTCATGGGGATGGTCGGGCCGGGCGAAAGGGGGGGATAGCAAAGGGGGGGGTTGAGAATCAGCTCACGTAGCTGATTTTCTCGGCGCCTCCCGGCGCCAGAGGCGGCCATGTATCGAGGAATGGGCCCCTCGGTGGGGCTGAAACCAGCTGCACGCAGCAGATTTCGTAACCCCCCCTTTCCCTATCCCCCCCTTTCATTCGGCCCGAGATGAGACCTCGACCTTGAATCGGCGATGCGTCGCCGCTGGATCGGCGATGGGCCGCGGTAGGGAAACCGCACGTTCCTGGGCGGGGTGGGGTATCGGGGTCCCATTGGCGATTCATGGGCGATCGGCTGTCGATGCGCCCCCCCCTGAGCCTAGCCCCTCCCATCGTTGCCCCTGGCTCTGCCTGGTACCCATGAGCACGGCATGGGAAATTGCATACACACACATTCTCGGTGAGAAGATCCTCGCCCGTGCACCGGCGACGTTCAACAATGACGGGGGGTGGGGCGAAGAGTGGCCTTCTCAGAAAGCATGGCGCGAGCTTCTCACAATGGCTCGGAGGTGCTGCAGAGGGCTTCTAAGGGGGGCACGAGGGCTTCAAAACCAGACACTACCTGGCGCCCGAAGGCAGGGCACAGGAAGTCCAGTCGGTGAGAAGCTCCTCCGCCGCGCATCGGCGGCGCGCAGAAAAGGGGGCTGAGGGAGGGGGAAGGCCATCTCGGAACGGAGGGGTCGGGCTTCGCAGAAGGGCCAAGATGCCTCGGGTGAAACACCTTAGAAAGCAGCAAGGCTCCAATGAGGGGAACGTTCGGGGGGAGCCGGCTCAGGGGGGGGGGGGGGGGGGCAATCGTCACCTGGAATCGGCGATACATCGCCGATAGATCGGCGATAGGCCCCCGATAGCGAAACCGCAGGTTCCTGGTCGGCGATGTCTGGGCGATTGGGGGTCGATGCATCCGCCCCTGAGCCTACTTCCCCCAGCGATGCCCCTGACTCAAACAAGCAACACTGCTCTTAACGGATCGCGACGCCACGCGCGCCTTCCTTCATCTGAATGGGTCCTGCCAACCCCCCTCACACTCCCCCTTGTCACTTCTCCCATCTAACGGATCGCGACGCTGTGCGCGATTTCCGCCATCCGGGCTGAGTCCTGCCCACCCACTCACACTCCCTTGATGTTTCTCCCGACTGTCGGATCACAACACTTTGCGCGCTTTTCGTCATCCGGGCTGGGGCCAGCCAACCTCATTCACACTCACACCTGTTACCTCACCCAACCAACGGATCGCGACGCTACGCGCGCTTTCCGTCATCTGGGGCGGGTCGTGCCAACCTTCATCACACTCTCCCTTGTTATTTCTCCTGACTGGTGGATCGCGACGCTGTGCGCGCTTTCCGTCATCTTGGGAAGGTCATGCCAACCCCCCCCACGCTCCCCCTTGTCATTTCTCCCGACTGGCAGATCGCGACGCTGTGTCCTCCGCCAGACCTTCTGGGCGTTCTGACCAGGATTTCGAAGCGACTCCAGCGGTGGCGACGAGGGCCTCCCGAAAGGCCGAGAAAACAGAAAACATGCAAAAAATAACGGTATGGGTACCTCTTCCTCCCCCGACGCTTTCCGTCATCCTCCGCCCCCTGTGGTTTGCCACAGAGGTGCACGCCGTGCTAAAGCTCTTCTGAAGAGTTGTTGTTCTTGTTCGAGGTTCCCAGTGGGGTCTCGGCCTGGCGCGCCGCCGCCCCGTGAGGAGCCGTACACTTCCCGATTCGCCGTCTCTCTTCCTGCGCGAGACGGCCCCTGGGATGGCCGTGGCATCCAAGACGGCTACGATGGCCCCAAGAGAGCCCGAGATGGCCTCAGGATGTCTCCAGGACCGCCCGTGCCCAAGATGCATCCAGGTCGGCCCAAGATCGGCCCAAGAGAGCCCCAGATGGCCTCAAGATGTCTCCAAGGTGGCCCCAGGCGGCCCAGAGCCTCCTAAGAGGCCTCGAAGGCGCCAGGACGGCCCGAAGATGCCAACATCATGTTCCGACGGTGTTTGATGGATCCTGGCGTTTGCTCATTTTCGGCGGTCCGACGGCCCAAGACGGCCTCAGTGGCCACCAAGATGGCCCCAAGAGCGCCAAAGAGGGCTCAAAGATGGCCCCATGACGGCCCAAGAGGCCCCCTAAGACGGCCCCACGACGGCCCCACGACGGCCCAGGAGACCTCCAAGACGCCCAAGATGACCTCCAAGCGGCCCTGAAGAACCCAAAGAGGGCCCAGCGAGCCCCCCAAGACGGTTTCCGACGGCGTCAGACGGGCCAGGAATGCCCAAGTCGCAGATTGCACAACGTCCGCCCCCAAGAGGCCAGCAGGCGCCCAGGAGGTCACAAGAGTGCCCCAAAAGCTCCGAAGAGGCATCCCCTCCTCTCTTTTCCTCCCTCTCGTCCTATTTCTCTTCCTCCCCCAAGTGTTCCCCGAAGGGTTCCCAAAACGGCTGGGGGAACACCCAGTCCGATAGCGTGGCCGAGCCCTGGTCACCACGTTCGGCCACAGAAGAGCTTCAAAGCAACGGGGGGCAGCGGTGATTCGACGCAGGCGTCTTCAGTACATCGAGACGGTCTCGATGTGCTGAAACCAGCCTTGGGGCAAGGGTCGGGACTTCGGGAATCGCGTATGGCAAAAAGGCAGTCTATCGCATGTCTGAATCTCTTTCGCGCCGAGCGTCTTCGCGCCCAGTTCTGGGCCCCTCAAAGATCGTCTCATGGCCACGAGCAAGCTTGTGAGCAAGCCCTGGGTCCGGCGACAACCCGGGTTATCGGGCTTGCCCCCGCTCCCCCCCCTTCTCAGGATAACCTAACCTTGCTGGTTGTGCAGGTTCGGGGTGGTGGGGCGCGGACATATGCAGGGCTGCCCACAGCGCGAAGGTTAGGTTATCGGCCGACCCCCTCCTCCCCCCCCCCTCGGATAACTTGGGTTATCGCCGATTCAAAAGAAAAAAAAACGGTCTCTTGGGGGGCGCGGGGGGGGGCGCTGGCGGCGCCTCCTGCTGCAGCGGCTGCACACCCGCAGCGGAGACCTCTGCGGCGGGCGGGAGGCGTGTGCGGTCGCGCTCGCGCGCGCGCGAAGCCGCCCCGAGGCGCAGAGATCCGAGGAGAAACTTGCTGCGTCGGCGGCTCGGCAGGAGGGACTGCGCCGGCGAGCAGAGCGAAACGGCGCAGCGTCAGGCGAGGTCAGCCACCATGCCGCAGGGAGGAAGGGCGACGAGGCGACGCCGAGGAGAGGTTAGGAAACAACTGCTGGGAGGTCTTCGCCGGAAAGACTAAGCAAGGAGGATTAAGCCCCATTGCGGGGCTGTTACGCCAGAGTGGGTTTCGGATCAAGCGGGACTGAGCCGGATCAAGCGGGATTCAGCGGGATAAACCGTGATTAAGCCGGACTTCGGACCAGGGCATAATCAGAATTTGACCTCCCAGGAGTTGCATCCAGAGAGCGGGGAGAGGCGGGAGCCGGGACCCGAGGAGAAACGCGGACCACCACCACCGAGAACCCATCAGTGGGGGGGGGCGCCGACCCGTTGGCGGCGGCACGCCTGGGCGTCCCCCCGAGACAGGACGGCGCTCGGGCGTGCCACCGCCGAGGGGCCGGCACCGAACCGATGGGTTCTCGGCGGCGGTGGTCTTAGGAGGCAACGACTGGGAGGTTTTCGCCGGAGGGATTCAAAAAGATCAAGCCCCATTTGGGGGCTGTTACGCCGGAGTGGGCCTCGGATTAAGTTGGATCGAACGGGATTTAGCGGGATTGAGCCGGATTAAGCGGGATTCAGCGGGATTAAGCCGGATTTCGGACCAGGGCAAAATCAGAATTTGACCTCCCAAAAGTTGCATCCGAAACTGACTGAAGTCAGGAGAGGCTAAATCCAGACGGAGCGAGCCCAGACGGAGGCCGAGTACTCCGTGCGGACTTACTCCGAACGGACTCCGCATCCCATCAGGAGAAGCCAAATCCAGAAGACGCCCAGACGGAGGCCGAGCACTCTGTACGGACAAACTCCGCACGGACTTCGCCTGCTTTGACGTGGCAACCTCAAGGTGGAAAGAACCGCTACTGCGCTGAGACTACGTTCGCCTGTGGGGCTCGTTAGTCCGCACCCGAGCCCGAGATGGCAGCAGTGCGCGAGCGATCTACAGTCATGATGCGGTAGCAACGAAACCTGGCTCTACGTGTCCTTGCGACACCCTGCCCCCCGATGAAGGGGGGGGGAGGGGGGGCCGGCTCCGGCCCGGCCCCCCTCCTCGGACCTCCGTTGCCGCGCGCTCCGCGGCGCGCGCCAGCGCGCGCGGCGGGCGGCTAATCTAGGCACTTCATACGCGTTCCGCGTCGGGCGGGTCCGCGTCAGGAAAGGGCCAACCTTCCACCATCACTACCATAGGTAATTAGGGCGGGGGAGAAAGGCGGATGGGAAGGCCCTCCTCCTCCTCCTCCTCCTCCTCCTCCTCCTCCTCCTCCTTCTTCTTCCCACAGCCCTGAGGGGCCAACGTCTGAGGTGTCCACACATGCATACGTCAGCGGTGAGATAGGCGGCAAGTATAGCGGGGGACGAGGAGAGCAGCAATGGCCAGCATCAGCCCGACTCGCAATACAGATCGAGCGGGGCATATAGATGGGCAACTGACGCCTCTAGCCATGCATCCCCAGGAGGCGTGGGGGCACAGCGTTGTGAGGCTGCCTGCGTGATAACAGCAGCTACGTAGAACTCCACCTGGCTGCTGTCAGGAGGGGCCAGGATCGGCACGGCATTCATGCACAGGCACTGACGGTCGCCAATGGGCACACAGCTCGACGTGGTGGTCGGAGACGTTGTCTGCAGGGAGCACAGGAACCTGACCTCGGGGACCTTCCAAATACAGGGCAAGTTGGCTTGCGGAGCAGGTGGGTTTAAAATGAGCAAGGTCGCCAGGCCCGAGGACGCCGCACACAGCGCCAGCGTGAGTGCCGCCCGCAGGCACGCACTGTCGAGCTCCAGCTGTCTCCACTCCGAGGGCGACCTGGCTGAAATCCCCCAAGGCTCATCGCAGCTCCTTAAAGGCCTGCTTTCACCACCCTTGGCTTTGCAGCGGGGGGCGGGGTCCCACGAGGAAAGGAGAAAATCCGCCACGAGACCAATAACAAGCCCAGCTAGAATAAGCTCAGTAATGAACAACAGCTCCTTGTGAAATCCCTCTATGGAGTTCTGGAAAAGCTCGAGAATATTAAGAGACAAAACAAAAACATTCATGCCCGCTATGGCACTGGACTTCTCCGCTCTGTCCTGGATGTCGCCTTGACTCCTGGGAGCTGTACGGAGGATCATAATGTACTTAGTGCCAGGGGCCGCGGGCAGGTGGACCTCCACCTGAGTGGGCATCTCTTCCTGGATACACACTGGTTGGCATGATATTCTCGGCATGCTAGTGGGGAGGACCTTGGAGGCAGCCGCCCCCCTCAGCCTAGGTCCAGTCGTGAGGACAGGCGGCAGCTGCGCTGACTCCGCATAGTGGCCTTTCTCTCGGAGCGTGCGTGCTAGCTCCGCGTCCTCCGCCTTAGCCACCATCACCTGTTCGGGGCTCAGCGGGGGGATGACGGCCTCCTCCTCCTCCTCCTCCCTCCTCCTCCTCCTCCTCCTCCTCCTCCTCCTCCTCCTCCTCCTCCTCCTCCTCCTCCTCCTCCTCCTCCTCCTCCTCCTCCTCTTCCTCCTCCTCCGACCTACATATGGTAGTGGTGGTGGGAAATCGGCCCATCAGTCGGGGGGGGGCGCCAGAGCTCTCTGCCGCGGCGCGCTGGCCCGGGCAAGCGGGGGGAGCGCCGCCGCCGCGCGAAGGGTGGCGCGCCATCGGCGGCCCCGCCGGGCGTTTGTTGTCCCGCGATGTCGGCCTTCGGGGGCCGTTGTCGGGCCTCAGAGTCATGAGGCATGGATCCGGGACGAAAAGCTACCCCCAAAGAGATGGTCGGGGACCTCTGGGGCCGCGAGTTCTACAGAAATGCTCACCGCGGGGATCCCCATGTGCATCTCGTTTCCTGGCACGCCCCGCTGTGAGTGTCTGGCCTGGCTGTGAGTGCCTGGCATGAAAGCGAATTCGAGTGGAAGACGGGTACGACGACGACGACGACGACGACGACGACGACGACGACGACGACGACGACGACGACGACTGAGACATGCTCACAGTCTGCGCTGAAAGCAGAGGAATCTCGGGGGGGGGGGGGGGGGGGGCGAAACACGCACACCGCCTGAGATATCCCCGCAATCTGGCCGCAGGCGGGCGGGCCCGTGCAACCGCACGACTGGGGCGCCCGGGCCAGCGCCTCGCCTGAGGCATCGTCGCAATCTGCTCTGAAAGCAGAAGGGTCTGGGAATCTGAGTGCGAGCGTGTCCGATCATGAGTGAATATGAGTATGAGTGTGAGTGACTTGAGAAGAAGAGGCGGGTGAGTGTGAGGTGGAGATGTTCTAATGATAGCAAGAAGCCCATCAGCGGATGTTAGGGGATAGGGGGGGGTACTGGCTCAGGGGGGGACATCGGGCTTGCATCGGCGATACATTGCCGATAGATCGGCGATGGCCCCCGATACTCAAACCGCACGTTCCCGATCGGGGCGGGCCATCGGGGCGACGAGTGGGCGATTTGGGCTCGACGCAGCTGCTGCTCCTGGGCCACGGCCCCCCGCTGCCAGGCCGCCGCTGCAGAGCCCAGGCGCACCAAGAAGGACCCGCATCGTGGCTAACCGCGAGGGGTCTTTAGAACCCCCCCCCCCACGAGGGGGTCACAAATTATCTCCGTCGGCGGCCGTATTGAAGGACTGGGGTCCCATCAATAGGGGGTAACTAATTCTTGTCTTCCGCGGCACCCGCCGCGCAACAAGGACCAGTCCTATTCACCGCCGAATGAAAGGAGGCGGGGACCAACACAAAAGACCCTCAGGGGTTCTCGCGAAGCTGGGATCTGGCCAAGATCGGATCGGGACAAGACCCAGCAGTCCTGGAAGATGCACCGGGCGCCACGGCCGTGCCAGAGCGTTCCGAAACGTTCTCGACTCTCGTCGCATATCCCGTGAAGGGGGCGTTCCAGAATGCGAAGCGTCGCATCCCGGTTCTAGATCCGGTGTGGCGCCCCCCGCCGTGCGCTGCTGCCTCTGAAGAAACCAACAGGTACAGATACCGCTACCCCCCAGGCCTCTCCCTGGGTGCGTTCCGACCAGGACTTCGAGGCGAATCCCGCGGTGGCGACGAGGGCCGCCAAGGAGGCTCAAAAAGAGGAAAACGGGCGAAGGGTAGCTGTACGGGTACCTTTTCCTCCTCTGGGTAGCAAACCGCTTGACTGGCTCTGGTGGACTGGCGCGGCCTCAAGGCGGAGCTGGGCGACGCGTCATGGCCAACGGCTCTGCCCCGAGCAACGCCTGCGAGAGAAGCGGGCGGTGCCTCACCGCAGACGACCGAGCTGAGCTCAAGAGGGTCCCTCCCTATTGAGATCAGCTTGATCGTCATGCCCATCGGCAGGCTCGAGCTAAGTAGTGTTGTTTCGTGTTCGTTTTGTTTCAGTTGTCCTTCGCTTTGTCTTCATTCTGCCTTTGCTGCGAAATGTAAGTGAAACGAAAACGGTTCACGAAATCGCTAAAACATTTTTTGGGCTCGAGCCCTAGTCCCTCACCACAGATGGCCGAGCTGAGCTCAAGAAGCCCCCCCGTCATCGTCGTGCCCGTCAGGCCCGTCGTACCCGTCAAACCCTAGACTCGTCGTCGCATTCGCCGCAATCATCTTGCTCATTGCATGCGTCGCCTGGCCCTCGGCAGAGCCGGAGCGGAACCGATCGACAGGAAATGTATGAAAATCTGACAGGTCGAATGGGCCCAACACCAGATCGGGCGAGCTCGACATCGGAAACGCATATCATATCGGGATGCCGGATCGAGTCGGAACCCAGGGAGGTCGTTTCGAATCGGCCAGCTGGAATTGGAAATCGCCCTGGTGGGCGCCTTACCGTGGAGCGGGCGCGCGCCCGGGGGAGAGAGTGAGAGCGGGCTTCTCAGAAGGCGGCGGGGCTTCTGAGGCACGGCGTGGCCTTTCGAGAAGCCCGCTGTGGCTTCGCGGGCGGCTCAGGCCTCCTGAGCCTTCTGAGACGGCCCGGCCCCCTCTGCCCCCCACTGGGCGCGCCGCCGACTCTGTCGGGCCACAGGTGGGTACAGCTGGACCACAGACAGAAGAACATCCCTCAAGAGCACGAGACCCTCCGCCGTCCAAAACACAGAGAGCATCCAAGGGTACTCTCCCCAGGATGCACAAGAACATCCAACAAACACGAAGAACATTAGGGTACCTCCCCGAAACGACCTCGATCTTCTACCTCGGTCCGACCGTATCGAAAGTACCCTGTGAAACTCATGGTGCGCCTTGGGGGAGGCGTGCCCTAGAACGTGACTGGGTGTGGCGCAGCCCCCTCTCACCTGTCGACCATCTCTGGATACCCTGGCGACCCTCCTCCGGCCTCTCCATCCAGACGTTTAGCCCCTGCCCGCTGGAGAGGCACTGCAAATAAAACTGAGGATTTCGATCAGTTCCGCACGGCGTGAAACATCCAAGAGCCCATCGGCGTCCAACATCTGATGCAACACACGTGACACAGTCATCACATTACATATAGGTAGGTAAGACCATGCAGCTTCCAGCTTCCTCACAACTGCAAGCCGATCCACTTCTCAACAAATTATGGTATGACATGTTTGTGGGACGCACACGCCAGAGACATGGAACAGCTGGCATCGAGCAAGGGCGCAAGGATAAGACAGCAAGAGTGAAGGCCTGCAAAATATCCTTCCAAGGGATGATGAGCGTACTAATCACCTGCGGGCCACGGGGCCATCATCAACAAGAGGGGTGGAATGGCCCAGCCTCGGAGGCGTCTCAACCTCTTTCACTCGTCTGCGCTCACCCACCTTCTGAACTTGGGGCTCGATTTCATCAACCTTCCCCTCAAGATTCGGGGTGGCCTGTGCGGCGTGGATTGGTCTGAGAAGTCTCGCATCAACGTCCGCAAACCCGAGCTTTCTTTATCGAAAAGAACGTCTGTCTGCACCAAGTGGCCAAACGCCTCACTCGCAGAAGTAAAGCCACGGCAACGTCGCCACTACTAGTTGGAACAATTCGGGGACGCGTCGGGCGTAGTAGAGCGACTGCAACAACAAATACAATACACTGCCTCGCAGCCTTCGGGTGGTACGGGGGTTGGATTCCTTGTGGTTCTGGTAGGTGTGCGATTGGCTTTGCGTCAGACTGGGAGTCTAGTCGCGTAACTGTCGATCGAAACATATACCATCCCTGCAAATCTGAAAACGATGCAACTAACCCTGATGCGGATCATCTGTCAAGCAAACGTTACCATCACCTCCGTGCAGACGACTATTTATCATGATTAGTGTAACGCTTGTGTTGGTAACCGCGGGAAAATGCTCGGAATAGTGATGATTGGGCAGTGGCGTTGAAGACCTGCCTATACCATGTACAGATACACTTATGCATACATCAGAACGTGGGGGCCAGACGCGCATTCACTGGGTGCGTGGCTGAAGTCGGGTTCCGCACTGCGGATTGATGCTGTTTTGCATTGTCACGTCTGAAAATAATTATTGTTGATCCCCCTGCCAGGAGCACATTGTGTTTTTCAGAGAAAATGTTCCTCCCAGGGCTCGCACTGGGTGTTTTATAAGGGAACTCTTGGTTCGCACGCTGCGCCCCTGGTACTGGGGTTACAACACCAGCGGTTCCCGCCTGATACTTTCTCACCATCTATGTACGGTTGGCGCTTTCGCGCGGGACTTCCTCGCAATGTATGCAAGAATCGCGCGCTCGCGCCTGTACGTCCTGTCAACTTATTGCGTTACCGTGCCCCTACGACTCAGGAGCGCAAAAAGGACGATAGTTACAAGATTCGGATAGCCTGCTCGGATTCGAACATGCAGGTGGAAACCCCATAAGGGGGCGCTCCCGCTCGAGACTTCCTCGGAAATCGCTCACAGACGAATCTCCCGCTTTAGACTTCTTCTGTAGTCATGCCCGGGGAACCCAAATGTAACGACAGTCACAGGTTTGAGGATGGCCCCCCTCGGGCTCAAACCATGAGGCGCGGGCTCCATAGGGAGGGGCTCCCCGCCTGAGACTTCCTCGCAATTCACTCACAGACGAGGCTCCCCCATCGAGACATCCTTGAAAAACAGGCCTGGCGAGCCATACAGCGACGACCGTTACAACTTTGAGGAAGCCCAAAGGTGACGAGAGTTACAGGTTCGAGGATGACCCCCTGGGATTCAAAAAAGTGCGGGCCCCATCGGGAGGGGAATCCCGCCTGCGACCTCCTCGAGATTCACTCACAAACGAGGCTCCCGCTGGAGACTTCCTCAATACTCAGGTCTGCGCAGCCCAAAAGTGACGACAGAGACAAGTTTGAGGATACCCTCCTGGGGCTAAACACCTGGAGCGCGGGCCACATATGGAGGGGGCTCCCGCCTGAGACTTCCTGACAAGTCATTCAGAAACGATGATCCCGCCCGAGACCTCCTCAGCGTGGGAGCCAAGCCCGCACGGCAGTTACATGGTAGGACGACCACCTGGGATTAAACACACGAAATGCTGGCCCCATAGGGAGGTTTTTTTTGTCTGAGACGTTCTCGTAAGGTACTCACAGACGAAGCTCCCGCTCGGGATCCATACTCAAAGTCTGGGCAGCTCAAACGTGACGACAATTACAGGGCTAAACCAATGCTTGAGTCAACGGGTGAGAGATTGAGTGCGTGAGTGAATGAGCGAGCGAGAGAGCGAGTGAGTAAGCGAGCGAACAAGCGACAGACAGATCGAGCGAGAGAGTGAGCGAGCGAGAGAAGAGCGAGTGAGTGAGTGAGTGAGTGAGTGAGTGAGAGGGTGGTGGTGATGATGATGATGCTGATGATGATGATGATGATGATGATGATGATGATGTCAGCGACGAAGACGACGACGGTGCTGGTGATGATGCTGATGATGATGCTGATGAGGATGCTAATGATGATGCTGATGCTGATGACGAAGATGATGATGATGATGATGATGATGATGATGATGATGATGACGATTTAGATGAGGACGATGAGGATGATGATTATGATGCTGATGCTGATGATGATGCTTATGCTTATGCTTATGCTGATGATGATGATGATGATGATGATGATGATGATGATGATGATGATGATGGTGATGATAAAGGTGCTGTTGCTGCTGATGATGATGATGCTGCTGACGGTGATGGTGGTGGTGGGATGGCGCTGAGAGGAAGAGACGGCGGTGGGTGAGGGGCTCCTGCGCGTGGGGTGCGTAGAGAAAACAATAACCCCACTGTGGATGTGGGGAAACATAATGTAAAATCCACATTGGGGCAAAATCTTGGGTAATGATCGGAGGGAGCGGGAACATTTCCCGACACTCATGTGGTGTTAGGTCCTTGCTTAGAAAAGACAGCGCCCCGCGTTCTCCTCCCGCCTCCTCCCTCCTCCCATCCCTGCCATCGCCCTCCGCACCAGCCAACCATTTCGACACACCCATCAAACGTTTCGTGACCACATAGGGAGCTCCATCGAAGGCCCCAGTGGCGGTGTTCGCATACGTCTCCCCCATGCAGTACAGCGCTGCGTGGCCCCGTAGGGATCTGCACCGAAGGCCCTAGTGGCGGTGTTCGCATGCGTCCCCCCCGCCCAGTACAACGTTCCGTGGCCCCCTAGGGACTTCCACCTAAGGCCCCAATGGCGGTGTCCGCATGCGCCTTACCCCCACACAGTACAACATTTCGTGGCCCCATGGGGAGCTCCACCAAAGGTCCCGGTGACGGTGTTCGCAGGCGACTTCCCCGCCCAGTACAGCGCTTCGTTGCCCCCTGTAGGGAGCTCCACCGAAGGTCTCAGTGGCGGCCCCGCCCCATTGCGGCGCACCCCGTACACGTTTCGCGGCCCCATAGTGGGTTCCACCGAAAGCTCCAGTGGCAGCGCCGACATGGCGCTCCCGCCCGTTATTGGCACACCTTTCGTTTTTTTCTCAGGAGGAGGTCCCCCGAAGGCGATACCCGCAACGACGGTCTTCACAACTGCACATGGTTGGGCCCTCCGCCAGGATCACTTTGATTTTTTCTTGACGGGGACGGCGGGGGCGCCCGCATATTGCATGCTGTGCGCAGGGCCAGCACTCCTGTCAACAAAAAAACATAACAAACTGCACTTCGAGAAAAAATTGGATCACGCGCGGACAGCCTGCGATGAGTGCATTGGTTTGTTGCGTGCCATGTGCAAGCCCACCAGACGCTATAATGGCCACCCGGCCGCGATTGCGTACGGGTGTTCGCCAACAGTGGTGGGGGCCGACATGTTTCCCGATGTGCACTACCCCGTGCGTATGCGCACCTGTGGCACACTCTGCGCGTGCCTCGAACGTGGCGCACCTAGCGCGGCCAGAGCATGCGGCACACGTATGGCGCACGTTGATCACGTGGCGCATATGGCGCACTAGGCGTGCCCGGCACGCTTGGGCCACCCGGCACGCTTGGGCCACAGTGGTGCCTGGCGCACCTGGCGCGCGTGGCGCGCCTGGCACGCCTGGCGCACCTCGCCCCAGCATTACGCACATTGGGCCCGTTTTGGTTCTCGTTAGCTGTCCGTCCAAAGACGACCACTGAACGCGCTGCGGCTCGGGTGCTACTTATGTGTCGGGAGGGCGGGTGTGAGTGAGCGGTACGGCTTGCGGGCGGGGGGGGGTCTTGACTACAAACCCCCTCCACCTTGGGTCTGGACGGGGCGTTTCACGAGGAGTTGGAGGTCCAATATGGCATCGGCGCACATATGCCCAAACCATGGATATTCCTCAAAATTTGGCAACAGCTTGGCCTCCAGAGGGGGTGGACCTAATTAAGGAGCCCCCCTCGTTTGATCCATCTCCTCCAAGATGGCCCCCGCGGCCTTTAAGAGGGCCCCAACACGGCACCAAGAGGTTCCCAGGAGGCTCCAAGGGGCCCCAGAGAGGTCCCCAGCGACCTCCAAAACGACCCAAAAGGCCTCCTATAGAGGCACCCAGGACGCCCTAAGAGCCCCCCCGGACTGCCAGGAGACCCCCCAAACGCCCCAAGAGTACTCCGAGAAACTCCCGAAAGAACTCCGAAGACACTCCGAGAGGCATCCAAGAGGCCTCTGGCCTTCCTGCTCGCCCTCCACCTCCTCCTCCTGCTCTTCCTCCTCCTCCTCCTCATCATCATCTTCCTAATCCGTCTGTTCCTCCTCCTCCATCTTCCTGCCAACGTGTTCAGCAGAGGTTTTCGCCCGCTTGGTGCGGGTAGCTAGGTCTGTCCCGTTGGGCAGTGTCAGGGTTACGAAGAGGCATGCACCAATTGTCAACGCCGAGGTACTCTTCGAGTTGAAGTGGCAGGAGGTAGCTGGTGTCTCTGGTCAGCTAATGGTGTGCATGGCAGTAACTGAAGTGCTGCTGCAAGGTGCTTATCCTGGCCAGCTGGCGAAATAGTTGTTGGTCAGCAGCCCAATGTTGGTATTCCAATGTCGCGCCGGAGGGATCTCTGTTTGGGGTGTCAGAGAACCTTGGGATGGTGATCCTCCCCAAGTTGGATGTGTCTCTTGATCTTCGAGACCGCAGTCTTCTCAGGGGTGCAAGAGCCCTTGGGTGAGCCTCCCCCTGTTTGCGTCAGTTGGTGGTGTTTTCCAAGTCTCGTAATCGTGAACGGCAGTACCAGTTGTCGTCGAGGGTTGTTCCTCTCCTCATCTTCCACGCGGCAAGTTGAAGTGCAGTGATATCCCGCAGGGACATTGTATGGTATCCTGGTATCATGCTCGTGAACGGGCCTGTGAGAGTCGTGTGTGTTCGTCTCGCTGGAGACCTTTGCCTTGGAAAAGGTGGAGCTCTGAGCGGCCCATCCTACCTCTGCGTGGTAACGGGGTCGCACCCCGAACAGCTGAAGTTTGCGCCTCCTTCCTCCCTTTTCCCCCTCCCCCTCTCCCTGCTCCTCGTCCTATTCCTCCTCCTGCTCCTCCTTCTCCGATTCATTGCAATCTCTTGCAAATCCCTGATCAGGGTAACTCGTCCGGACATCGCTTCTGGATGGGCTGGTGGGGTTGCCTTTTTGTTCGCGATCGCAAGCGGTCCGACCGCGCGCCGAAAGTAACAAGGCAGCCGGGCCAAGCACGAAATTAACCGCGAGCAAAAGGAGCGAACTACGCTGCAATTCAGGGGGCGAGAAAGACGCTGAAGCACAGGACGAAACTGGTGGGGTTACTTTTTTGGTCGGCGGCCGCGCGACGACGGTCTGGCGGCGGCAACAGGCGTGTCCGGGACGGCGGATTATGCTAATTGCATGCAAGGCGTGCGGTGCACGTGCACTGAGCAAAATGCTCCACATTCGAGCCGAGACGCACCTAGGCGCCGCCCGGTCCAAAAGAACGAGCGCACAGAGGTGCGGGTGCAACGGAACGTCGCTCTTGCGGCGCCAAGCTCCGAGCAACACCTCAAACAGACAACTGGCACCAGCCCGGCGTACCGGCTGCTGGGGGTGGAAAACAGGCTGACGGCGCTGAAGGCTGATCCACTCAGCGCGCAGCCAGCGAACACCACTAAAACTGGTGGGGTTACGCGAAGCGTCCAGAATTCTACTAAGGCGTCCTCACAATCTGCGAGTCTGAGTGCGACTGCGTCGTACGTCCAAGTGCGAATGAGGCTGATTGTCAGTGAGTCTGAGTGTGAGTGAATCTGAGTATGAGTCTGAGGGGGAGTGCGTCTTAGCGAAAGTTCGACCATGCGTCAGTCTGAGTGCGAGTGAGTATGAGTGAGTCTGAGTGCGCGGGAATGTGAATCTGCGGGAGCCTTAGTGAGGGAAAGGAGGATGCGACTGAGTCTGAGTGTGAGTTTGAGCAATGAAGGTCTGGGTGAGTTTTAGGATGAGGGGGTCGGAGTGATGAAGAGAAGAGTGCGAGTGAGCATGCGTGTGAGTGAGTCCATCCCTGGAGCCCCGTTCCTGAGGGCCCCCACCTTCACCCGCCGAAAGGTGGAGCCGCGCCCCCCGCGGGTGCACGGAGCGAGAACACTTGCGCGAGGCTCGCCGCCTGCCCCGCGAGCGCCCGCTGGCGGGGTCGCCTCGCCGCTGGGCGCTTCCCCCTGCGGAGGCTGGCGGGCATACCGCAGCGTGACCGCGTTGTCGCTCTCCAGCGCGCAGCTGTGGAACAGGCCCTGGCCCAGGAGAAGGGGGGGGGGGGCAGCGCGCGTAGGGCTGCAGTGGGACCAGATCACAAGGAAGCGCGGCAACGATGTTGGGCCACTGGATACCCAAGTTCATGGCCGAAGTTGGCAGCCCATGGCCCATGGCGCAGGGTCAGGATGGGCCAGAAGGCAAGGCTGCAAGGGCACCCTTGGGCAATCACTCGTCCCTTTGATCCTGTCTGGCTGTGCGGACAGCGGACTGGCGCGGTGCGGGGCGAGAACGCCTGACGGAGCCGCCATCCCCCCCGACACCTCTCGCGTGCGCGCCGGGGGCAGGGTTCGGTGGAAAGTCGCACGTGGCGTACGCCACGGGCGCGCGTAAGGTGTGCTTCGAGAGTGGCCACTGTCGCTCGCCGCTCGCCCCAGCCCGAGACCTCTTTCGGTCGACATCCAAGGTCAGCGTCGCAATCTGAACAAGCTAGAGGCTACAAAAAGCAAACGGGCAACGCTACTCTGCGTTCATGCCGCCAGAGGGGCGGTGGGATGCGTTGGCGGTGTGAAGGAGGGTGGCGATCGGGGGCGGCCTTCTAACAAATGCCCCCGCCACCGACAAAGAGCGGAGAAAACGGGCCCCGTCCAAGAAACCACCCACCTTCTTAGAATCAGATACCCGCCCACCTTCGGGGGCGTCCAAGAGAGGGGTGTCCAGGGGGGCGGCGCAAATCATGGGCGGCATCTTCGCGGCCCAAGGGCGGCCGGGGACGTTTTGAAACGAGAAGAGGCGCAATGAAATCTGGGGAGATATCATGACCCCGCCCCATGATAGTCACCCACCTGATCATCACCCGCCACCCCCTATAAGCTAAAAGCCCAACACTACGCCCAAGATTGAGCCGGACTGCTCGGGATCAGATGGAATTCACTGGGATTGGGCCGGATCGGGCTAGCCGTCTACCAGAGCTACACCAGAGACGATGCTCAACTTAACCTTCCAGGAATTGCATCCTAAAGGGGATAGCAATGAGCCAAGGGACGGCCGTATTGAAAACGAAATGGCGAGCACAACAAAAATCGGATCGAAACCCGACGGTTCAAACTAATGTTTCAGACGAAACCGATGCCAAACGAGATGAACAACGAAAGAAGGCGTTCAAAGCAAGATGGAGCAACGAAACTGAACAACAACGAAAAACGACACCAACAACAGAAGAAAGGCCCACACCGGGCTAAACAGCATTGTGGTCGCCCAAAGGTACCCTGATCAGGAAGCCCACAAAAGACGTACACGCCCAGCCAAACACATGAATACGGGACCCCTAGTCCGCGAGACAAGCCTCGTGACACAAACGTTCGCGCAATGCGTGTTTTCGAAGCCAACGTGTATTCATGTACAAATAATTACCTTGGACGCCGCCAGCCTCAAGGGTACCCCGATAGGTGACGGCATCCGAACCCTGCCCCCACCAACCAATTCTCCTGAATCGAGGAAGGCGGGGATAGGGTTCAGATTTCGCCGCGTGTTCGACGAAATCCGAACCCTACCCCCGCCGCCCATCGAGTTGCCTGAGTCGCTGATCGGCGAGGGTAGGGCTCGGACTTCGCCGCCGACCATGAGAGGCTGGCCAGAGAAAGCGGCCGAGGACGGGCCGAAGAGGCAAGGACGCAGGGGCACACTCGGGAAACCGCATGTCCTTCCCGTGCTGGGGGATGCATGTGGACGGTGGCACTGGGGCCTTCGGTGGAGCTCCCTATGGGGCCACGAAACGTCAGAGGGGTGTGCCGAAAGGGGTGAGGGACCACCCGATCGAAGGAAATCCCGAGGAGTCGCGGTCATTCGGCATCAAATCTGAAAATCACATCGAATCTGAAAGTGCGTTGTATCTGGCTGAATCGGCACGACATCGAAATCGAATTGGATCGGAACCGCCAGGAAGCACAACAAGGCGTTATAAACATCGGGCCGCATCAAATCACACGAACATCGGAATCGGATCGAATCGGATTGGTAAAAAAGCATATCGAATAGGATAGATAATGACCGTTTCGAAATAGACCCTTCGGTGGCGGCAGATCTGGAACAGAGACGTGGGAAATGCATGTGGGGACCTGCAGTTCAGAACCTGCAAGGGATAACAGAACCAGGAGAGCTGTCAGCGTCCTGATATAATCGTATCACTAACATATCCAGAACGGAATATCAGTTGAAGCTCGAACAATCATGCTAAGAGCAACAACTAGTCCAATACAACCAAAAACCAACTGTAACGACATCACACGAATGTGCTCTGGGCATCGCAACTCCCCTAAACCTCTCCAAAACTCATCCGAGTTACATGCGATACCTGGAACCCCAAGCTCAAGCACAAACAAAGATGCGAGGCACTGAAGTCGCAGGCGAGAGCGCGTCCCCTGAATCAATCACGAGGAAGTCCCGATCGAGACCGCGATTCCAGAATACCAAGAAGGCGACACGTGAACACATTATAATGGAGACTCAGGCGAGAGCACGATTCCTGGATAAATTGCAAGGGGATCTTTATCGTAACCAAAACCCCTCAAGAAATTGTGAAGAAAATCAAGCATGAACTATTATTGTGGTAAACCCGGGACTGTCTGCGGCGCAAGACTGCCGTCGTACAAGTAGTGTGCGAGCCCCGGGAGGGGCACTTCGATTGAAACACACCACAAGGTGCACCAGAGGGGGGAGGGGACGACAATACCTATCCTTCCGAGAGGGAAACTCAACACCACCAAAGTATGTTTCTGGTGGCACTTTGGGCACAGTGCCATTTCCAAGCCTCCTCGCATATTTCCCGACTCACATGCGACAGGGAGCTCGAAGCTAAAGCAACACTCTTTATTACTTTTTGTCGAGCGGTTGATCTGCAGGTAAAGGTACTTGTGTGCTTGAGACTTGGCGTCTCACCGACCGCCACACGTCTAGGAATGTTGTGAGGACTGAGGAACGTCATCCCTGGGGGTCTGGACAGGGGGGAGGGTCGTGAGGGGATAGAGCGTGCAATATGGCCGCACTAGATGAATCCATGATGGTCCCAAATAGACCAAGATGACCAAGGTGATATCCAAGATTGCTCTAAGTCCCCAAGGAGGCTCGAGGACCCCCCAGAACAGGGATAGACTCGAGACGCTGAAATCACTCGACAAAACAAACGGTGTGGTATGGTGTATGGTGTTTGCCTCCTCGCCAGCTCATTCCCGATTGGCAGATGGGGCCACAAGATGGTCATAATACTGCCAGAAAGGACCCAAAAGCATCCAGATCATCTCAACAGAGGGTCCCAAGTGAGCCTCGATAGATGATTTGTTGATTTGGTCAACTCCACAGTGGGGTGCTCAGTCAGACACCCTTCCTGCGTATATGGGCCGACTGTCTGCAGGATTGCCTCCCCTTCCTCCTCCTCCTCCTCCTCCTCCTCCTCCACCTCCTCTTCCTCCTCCTCCTCCTCCTCCTCCTCCTCCTCCCCCGCCTCCTCCTCCTCCTCCTCCTCCTCCTCCTCCTCCTCCTCCTCCTCCTCCAGGAGTGCCATCACCGTTCCCCGCCTGAACCCCTGATTAGGAGGCAACTCCTGGGAGGTCTTCATCAGAACGATTAAGGGCTATCTATCCGATGAAGAGGCCATGCGAGCCAGATTTGTCCAAAGTAAGCTCAACATTAAGCCCGAGAAAGCCAGCTTTACAAGGTTGAGCGGGACTCTGTGGGATTTTGCTTGAGTGCCATGGATGAACCAGTGCCGACGCTGATTTCTCACCTCCCAAGAGCTGCATCCTCGCCCTTGCACACGTCACGAGCGGCGACCCCATCTGTATCCGCTCGGAGGCGATCCCGCAAATATCCGCGACAAAAACACGGACACGGATGCGTTCCGTGCGAGGCATCCACGACAAAACACGCCCCGTATTCGGCGGGGTCGCGGCCCGGCCGGTGAGGCCTCGGGTACGGATGTGTTCCGCTCACGAAGAGCCTGCTTTTTCTATCATTCGCGATGACGGGCGTGATCGGGGGAGGGGGGTGGCGAGTTCGTCCCCCCGTCCACCCCCTGATCACATCACGGATGGGGTCGCTGAAAAACTTGGGAAACCCTTGAAGAATCTGCAAGTCCTCTTTGCAGATGTAGGTAGGCAAGATAGCGTGACGCGATCCAGGGGAGAGAGACAGAGGGCCGATCACGGCCGTTACCGCCACGACCTAACAAAAACAGGCTCGAACACGCACCCTGCGGGCGGCCAGCGGGCGAGCCTCATACGTGTTGTTTCTGAGCTTCACGGTGACCCTGCGCGCGCCGGTCGCGCGCGCGGCAGCCCTCCCAGACGCGTCGGCAGGGGACGTACTGCGGGAGGCGGGAGCCTGGCCGCACGGGTGGCAGCCCTCCCAGACGCGCCAGCCGTGAGCATCTCTGATAGAGATGCTCACGCTGGCCGGGTGTTGCTTCACGTGCCCCTGGCCCACGGCGTAGACGGAGCGAAGACAAAAGCTGGGGACACCTTTGCGGGGCAGGGATGTATCCATGTCCACCGCCTGGGATTCGACGCCCTGGGGACCCAGCGGGCGGTGGATATGGATATGACGTACAGTCGGACTTGGGCAGGACACGCGAGAGGACACAAGACCCTTCCGAGGGCCACATTGCCGTAGGAATGTAGGAGGCATTGGTCGCGAGACACAGGACACAAGGGTACTCTTGATTTGGTAGGGTCGACCTACTAATCAGGGCCGACTGTGCTTGGGCCCCCGGAGGCCAACATATATCCATATTCACATCCACCGCTCGCCGAGGTCTCCGAAAATCCATTTTACAGGCGGTGATTGTGTAAATCCCCCGCCTCAGAACCTTGGGCCAAGGACACCTTTAGCAACCCCCGGGCTGGGGCCCGACGGGCCGCAAGGCTACGTGCCCGGCCGGACTGAGCCAGATCGCATCGCGACATAGATCCGAAAGGAAACAGGCCGCATCGCGAGCGAATCGTCCAGAATCCAGTCGAAACATGATCGCCGCGCCCGGCCCCAGCCGACGCTGGCTGATGCCAGCGAATGGGCCCAGGCCGAACGGAATCGAAGCGCATCGCACCGCATCGAATCGCATCGCAGCGTGGGCGGCCCTGCCTGGCCCTCGACAATCGGACATCGCGCATGGCGGGCTTGCTTTCCGCCGCCGCCATCAGAAGTAGTGAGAGGGGGGGGGTCCTCCTCCTCCTTCTCCTCCTCCTCCTCCTCCTCCTCCTCCTCCTCCTCCTACTCCACCTCCTCTTCTTCCTATCCTCCTCCTCCTCCTCCTCCTCCTCCTCCTCCTCCTCCTCCTCCTCCTCCTGCGCTTCCTCCTCCGCTTCCTCCTCCTCCTCCTCCTCCTCCTCCTCCTCCTCCTTCTCCCCCTCCTCCGCATTCTCCACCTCCTTCCCCTCTCCAACTTCTGGTGGTGGAGAACAGGCCCATCAGCGCAGCCTCGACATCGGACAGCGCGCACGGACGCATCCGAGGCACGGTATCCGGGGAAGCAAGGCACCAACCTCCAGGCTGAACGGCGCTTGCCCCGGGGAGGCGGCAAACGGGGGGGCGAAGAAACGTGCCTCTCTCGCGCCACTGCTGGGCCCCAGGGAGCCCCTCTGGGGCCCCGAAGGTGCACAGAAGGTGCACCTTTCTTCACCCCCCATGCCCAGACATCGAGCGCTCCAATTTTTTCGATGCATGGACCCCCAGAGCTCTGAACCACTTCCCTAGGGCCAGCTTCTCATCCTGAGCTGTTTTTTGACGGTCCCTGGGTCCCTGGAGGGCTTCCGGAGGCCGACGACAACCAAAAACTGGCCGCTCCAACATCGTTGGGAGCGTCGGATCTCTGGTGATGAGCCCTCGCCCCCACACCACGCAAAACCCACTCGCCGGGCGTCGGGCGAGTCAAAAAACGACTCAGGACAAAAAACTAGCCCTGGAGAAGTGGTCCAGACCTCCGGGGCCCACGCATCGAAACAATTGGAGCATCTGGATGTCTGGGTGGTACCACGTGCCCCTGTTGGAGACGCACGTCCGACCCGAACATGCATGTGGTACAAAACCTTGTAGTAGATCGTTTCCCGAGCGACATGGCCAGAAAGCGCCCGACGGGGAGCTTGCACTACAAACTAGAGCGTTGCCGACCGAAAGCGTCGCCCTGGCGTGGCCGACGCGCAGCTAGCAGCCAGAACAGGTGCGTGTGAATGGTGCCGATCGTCGGCCGCTCAGCGGCAGTTGCCCCTGCAGGGTCGCCCCCATCCTGAGGAGGGACGTCAGGGGGGGGGGCGGCTCAACACATCGAGCTGGAATCGGCGATGCGTCGCCGATACATCGACGGTGTGCCCACGACAGCGGGACCGCAGCCTCCTGGGCAAGGTGGGGTTACGGGCCCGCATCGGCGACGCATAGGCGATCGTGTGCCGATGCATCACCCCCGAGCCTACCCCTCCCTATCGTTGCCCACTGGCGTTCGGGCCACAACTCGGCTCGTCGGCGGCAGTTCGGGACGATCTGGGCATCCCGGGAACGCTCTCGGCGAGGCGCAGCCGCCAGAAGGCATCCCGAGACTGGAAAGCTGCTAAAAACAAACGGAAAACGCTTTCGAAACGCTCGAAAGACTTGAACTTCGAAACTTCGCCCCCCCTCCCCCTAACGTTACCCCTGGCCTCCACACTGGCCTCCTTTCTTCGAACATTCCAGGCCAAGGAGCGAGAAGGCTGCCCCCCCGCGGAGGTGCGGGAACACGCCCGATCTCTTGCGCATGCCAGCAATCGTCAGAGCACCGAAACCAGCTTAGTACTGGTTGTGGTCGATGTGGGCGTCCAGGACGGCCGAATCGACCACAGCCACAATCAAAGTGTTCATGTCGAGGTCGGTGGACTCTCCCGCGAGGGGTCCTCACACAAAAATCAGCGTGTGGCTGTGAACGTTCTCTTATTCGGCGTTTCGACATGGGGCGGAAGGGAGAGGGCCTCTGCTCAATGCGACTGTTTGCGACACTGCCTCCTGTGGGGGAGATTCCACCTGCTTGGCACAGGCGCCAGTCGGGGGGGAGAGGGGGTGCGAGGGCCCGCGCCGATCGGCAAAACACTGAATGGAGCAAAGGCGACGCTGTGGTGGCTCTTTGTGAGCGAGCAACGACATATGTACATGTACGCCCTCCGCGATCTTGAGTGCACGAACGTCCTCGTTCAAACGCCCTCCAGGGGAAGCTAACCGCGTACGTGTACATATGTTGCTGGCCTCTGACTTTGCTCTGCCCGGAGCACGGCCCTCCGATCCTCCCCGCCCTCCCGGCCAGGGACCGGAGCGGTTGCCCGCCGCGGGGGCGCACCTCGGCCGCGCGAGCCTGCCGTGCCGCCGCCGCTCCGCCTCCGGACTGCCCTTCGCCCCTCCCTCGTGCCAGGGCGGGGGGCACGGTCGGACCGAGGCACGAGATCGAGGTCGGCTCGGGGAGGGTACCCTCGTGCTCTTCGTGCTCGTCGTATGCTCTTGTGCACGCTGGGGGACGAAGGTGCCCTCGGTGATCCGACGGTTTGGGGCGTCTTGGCCGGCGGAGGGACGCATGTTCTTGAAGGATGCTCTTCTGTCCCAGGTCCGACCACAGGGAAAAGGCTCGGCCAGGCGGAACTCGGCCAGGCGGACCTCGGCCAGCTGATTTCGGCCACACGCAAGAGTGACTCTCAGCAAAGAGTGATCTTTGGTGCGCGGCTTGAGGCGGGGCGCGGGGGGGGCCCTGACGCAGGCGCGCAAGCAGCTGCCATCGCATCTGTCTGCTGCTATCGGGGGACGCCCAGTCGGCCCACACCAAAGGTCACTCCGGCGAAGGGCCACTCATATTTACATGTCGCCGATGAACTCGGCCAGGCTCAACTCGGCCAAGACCGAATTCATCTTGGCCGAGTTCGGCAGGGCCAATCAGCCGGCCGAGTTCAGCCCGGATTTCAGCTAGCCGAGTCCAGCCTTGCCGAGTTTTGCCTTGCCGAACTTAGTTGCCGCCTGGGGCGGACGGGACGAAGAGGGCCGATTACCCTAGCGAGGCACACTGCCGAGAGGGCCCTGAGAGGGTCGTGAGAGGATCCTGAGAGGGCCGTGAGAGGCTCTCGAGAGGCTACCGGGGGCGTCCTGAGAGGCTACTGGGCGGGTCCTGAGAGGGTCCTGCATGAGAAGGCTACTGGGAAGATCAAGAGCTATTAAGTGGCTCCAGAGAAGATCCAGACTTCGGAGCAGATGCTTGCATTCCGCTGTTTGAAAAACGTGTCCATTAATGGCCAGTCAGCAGGTGGTCATTTACCAACCACTGGCTTTCCAATACTTTGACGCTGATGTTGGTGTGGCCGCCGAAGAAACACCCTCATCCACATGAGCAACAAATGACGGTCACGAATCCAGCACCGCAACGGCTCCCCGGGCACCGCAACGGCTCTTCGGTCACGAATCTGGCACGGCTCGGGAAAATTCCGCACCCCGCTTTCGGCAATATGACATCCCTAAGCGAGAAGCTATCAGGGAAATACCAGTCGTTCCAGGTCGAAGGGACTGGCGGGTGGGCCACCGACAAGCGAGAAGAGCGGAAACATTGGCGTGGGAACCATACCTGACACAAACGGGAGCACAACGGGAGGCCCACACGACGACTTCTACAACAACCAACGCGCCAATGCGTGACTGCATTGCTCAGTTAAGTGCACGACTGCGTCGGTGATCGCCATCACTCTTACGACTGGCCTGACGAGCAAGATCAATGGAGCCTGCCACTGACAGCCTGCCTGTCGTTCCACTGGCGGCAAGAGGCGAGCCGCCAGAGCCGCCTCCGCCGCTGCACGGGGCGGGGGCCCGCGGGGTCGCACGCGGGGGCCTGTGCCCGACGAGGCTGAGGACGCAGTACGTGAGCCGCTCCCGGTTCACGTCCGGCCCACTACCCTCGCAGGCTCTTGGCTCGCGTGCGCGCGCACCGCCCCCCCCCGTCGGCAGAGAGAGATCCCTCCACACGCCTCCTCTGCGACCTGCACCATGCAAGGGGTGGCGGAGGCCCGCGCAGAGGGTGCGTGCACATCCCCGGGGGAACAAAAACAGGCAGCTGCGAAGCGCGGGAAGCACGTGGGACAAAGGAGGGAACCGTGTGAGGGGTGTGACGTAGTGGGCGGGGGAGATGCATGCGAGCGGTGGCGCTGGTGCCTTCTTTGGAACTCCCTGTGGGGCCACATCACATTGAAAGGTGTACCGAAATGGGTGTGTGGTAACGCAGGCGAACTGTGCAAATGTCACCTTCGATGGAGCTCCCCCTATGGGGTCACGAAATGGGCGGGGGAGACGAAAGCGAGCTGTGCCACTGGACCTTCGGTGGAGCTCCCCATTGGGCCGTGAGCGGTGTTCCGAAATGGGTGGAGGAAACAAAGGCGGATCTGCAACTGGGACCTTCGATGGAGTCCCCATATGGGGCCACAAGCGTGTGAGAGGTGTGCCGAAATGGGCGGGGAAGTCACATGCGAAGTGTGCATGTGGGACCTTCGTCCCCTTAGAGGCCCCAAGATGCCTCATGATGGTCACCGAGATGTTCTCATATAGCCGCATCTCGCTCAGCTTTGGGGGCTAGCGTCACAGGGCGCAGCCCTTGATTTAATCAAATCCAGCGGATACGTAGAGCCAGGCATCGTGCTTCCCAGCCCCCCACTAGTCTGACTAATATGTACGGTATGTAGTGATCTTGGACTGCGAATTTCCCGCGTGTGCCGACAACCGCCCATATTTAAACACGGAGACATGACCCCTCCTGGAAAGCGGGGAAGCCACCGTGACTTATTGAGTGGCCATCGGAGTTTTACTGAGTGTGCCGGCAACGTGAAACATAAAAGAAAAATCAAACACACCCTGAATCACTGGGAGAACGTGGCATGTGACCCGCCCAAGAAACCCTGAATGCAACCGAATTGGCATATGCTTGGTGGGCATGTGCCACTTCCGTGGGTTTCCGCTGGGCTTCCGCAGGATGGATGAGGAGGGAAAGGAGGACATGAGGACATCAGACAGGCCTCGATGTGGTGACTGGGCGGACTACGCTCGCGCCGTCTGGCGCCCTGGTGGCGTCTCCACTGGGGGACCGATGCCCTCCTCAGCCGAGCCCCGAGATCCCCTTCCCGCGTCGAAGCTCGGGAACGTCGGTTGGGGTGCCATTCGGGAATCGCACACGCTTCAGACCGAGCCAACACGGCGGCCTTCACGGGCGCAGGCGGTCCTGCACGGCGGGATGGTGAGCCCCCAGGAGGGCCTGCGGATGCGTCCGACGCCTTTCCGAGTTGGAGGGTGGCAGGGGCCCGGAAGGTGTCGGGGGCTCACCGCCGCACAGCGTTTGCACGTGTGACATCATGTGATACGTGCGCAAGCTGGCGCCCGCTGTTGCCCATGGTGTGCGAAGGGTGCAGACTCGCACCAGTCATGTGTAGGGGTCGGCATCACGCGGGGCCTACACCTCCAGCTCCCCAAGGACACTTTACCTCGTTGTCCGAGGCAGCGACCGCGCGAGAAACCATGGACGGGGAGTGGGCCACCACCGACGGGGAAGGAAGGAGGGAGGAACGATGGCGGGACTCCTGGGGAGGAGGCCCCGATGCACAGCGGCCTGCTATTCGATCGGTCTTCTCCAAGATGGTCCCAACATGACCCCCGAAGCTCCCATCGGCGACATCGGCGATGCATCGGGCGACACCGGTGTGGGAAAACACGGTCTCCACATCCAGCCGCATCGTCGATACATCGGCGATGCGACGCGATCCTCCAACCCCATCTACTCGGACCCCATCTAGAAGGACTAGAGGAAGAGGGGGAACGTGAGAAGTTGGCCGCGAATGAATGGGGGGGCGATAAATGGGGGGGGGTAGAAAGGTGCCCTTCTCGGGCCCTTCAGGCCCCCCTTCGGGGCCCGAGAAGGCTCCTTCAGGGGCCCTAAAGGGCCTCCTTTCTGCAGCCCTCCCTGCCCCCCCACTGATTGCCTCCCCGCTAATTCGCGCCCAGGGAGGCCTCGGGCTCGAGCCTCTGGAGGGTGGCGGCCCTCCCCAGGGGGCAACCGCAACGCCGCGCGCGCCTCCGCCGCCCAGGGGCCTGGAGCGAGGGATGAGGCCCGAGGGGGGAGGGAACGAGGAGGGAGCGAGGAGAGATGCCAGGGTACAGGAGGCCCTGCTCACCCTCCCTCTCCGCGATCGTTTGTCATTTTCGGTGGCTGTCGTTACCCGGGGGGGGGCAGCGGCTAGCGGTAACGCTTGGGCGGGGTGGGGCACCTCGGGACGGGGGCGTCGCTGCGATTGGTTTGTGTCCTCCTCCCCGCAGAACAGCGCCGGTGGCCCTACCACGTCGCGATTCGAGACGTGGCTCGGCAAACCAGGAACCTCGCAGAAGTCAACCCGCAGTAAGCAAGCTCGTGCTAAAAACCGTGGCCTGGGCACCAAGTCGACAACGCAGTTACTCTGCGTGCATATAGATGCCCCCCGCGGCCCGAACGGCCAACCAGATCCTCAACACGCAGCGCCGAAAGGGGACACTAAGAAAGAGGATAAGGAGGAGGGGAGGGAGAAGAGGACGAGGGAGGGGACATACCCAGCAACACTCATGCGTGCGTAAGCCGACCCGTGTAGACGACGCCAGCACAGAAGCCCTCGCAAATACGAGCGAAGGAGAGAGGGAAGAGGATGAGGAGGGGGAGGAGGAAGAGAACGACAAAGAACTGTTCGCTGCGATGTTTGCGATGACCATGGTGCGCGCGCGAACACCAACATTGTGGTGGGGATCCTACATCCCCCTTGTACGTACGATCGATACCGTTACCCAAGGTATTGGGGGGGGGGGGGGGCGAAAACTGAAGACCGTTGCGCGCCAGAAAACAAATAAACAATAGCCCCCCGTTTGACGCTCGTCGGACATGAAGAATGGGACTTGTTGCGTCCTGAAAAGAATTAATAGGCCACATGTAATAGAATCGCCGACTTAGGCCTTGACACTCACATTCAGGCAGCCGCCAGTGCGGAAAAAGAAATGCGAGAAACTAGAAAAATAATGCGGCCCTTGGACGCGAAGAATAACTAGGCGGCTACCGTAAGGAGAGATACACGTGACAACGACAACAGAGCGGGAACTGCAGGAATGCACAAATACTCATGAATGCGCAACGAAACATTATGCTGCCTGGCCATCGGGTGCCCCTCCCCATCCCCAACACCGGCCACACCAAACAACCGCCCATCCCACCATGCTGGTGAAGGCTGGCAGTATCTAGGGTGATGAAAAGCAAAACAAGCAGGGCAGGCAACGCTAGCAAGACAGTGGGAATAGAGCCGCCAAGAAATCCGGTAAACAGTTAGGCGATACAGATAACTGTCAATGGTGCAGGCCAGCATTGGGAGGCGGCTTCTGCGACATGTGAGACTGGAACTCTGTCATGCTTTCAATATCCGCCTCCTCCTCCTCCCCCTCCCCCTCCCCCCCCTCCCCCTCCCCTCCCCCACCTCCTCCTCTCCCCCTCCTCCTCCTCCTCCTCCTCCTCCTCTCCTCCTCCTCCTCCTCCTCCTCCTCCATCCCCCTCCCCCGTCCCCTCCCCCTCCCCCTCCCCCTCCCCTTCCCCCTCCTCCTCCCCATCCCCCTCCCCCTCCCCCACCTCCTCCTCCTCCTCCTCCTCCTCCTCCTCCTCCTCCTCCTCCTCCTCCTCCTCCTCCTCCTCCTCCCCCTCCTCCCCCCTCCTCCTCCCCCTCCTCCCCCTCCGCTGCCTCCTCCTCCTCCTCCATAGCGGGGGATTGTGGAGCCCCTCGGGGTTCCAGGGCGCGCGCGCGCGAGGCTTTCACACTGAGTTCGCGCGTGCGTCTTTCAGTGGTGTGCGTACTCTGTGGCGTCCTCCTCTCTTTCCGCCTTCCCCTCCTCCTCCTCCTCCTCCTCCTCCTCCTCCTCGTCCTCTTCCTCCTCCTCCTCCTCCTCCTCCTTGTTTTTGTTCCTCCCCCCTCCCCCCCAAAAAAGAAACATAAAAAACAAAAAAAAATGGGTGGGGGGGGGTCGGCGGCAGAAAAAAAGGAATCCGACGTGGCATCATCTGCCCTCCCCGCTAGAAGGATTCCTATTGAACGCCCCCACAAGAAGGAATCATAGCGAAATCCTCTACAGAAGGATTCCTATCGAAACCCTCCACTGAATGACTCCGACTGAAATCCTCCACATATGTATTCCTATTGAAATCACCCGCAGAAGGTCCTCCTCCTCCTTTTTTGTCTCGCTCCCCCCCCCCAAAAAAAAACGAACCAGTGTGCTGGTTTGATTGTTATCTTGTTTTGATTTTTTTTTGGGGGGGTCGGCGGCGGAAAAAAAGGAATCCGACGTGGCCTCATCTGCCCTCCCCGCTAGAAGGATTCCTATTGAACGCCCCCACAAGAAGGATTCAGAATGAAATCCTCTACATGAGGATTCCACTTGAAACCCTCCACCGAATGATTGCTACTGAAATCCTCCACATATGGATTCCTATTGAAATCACCCGCAGAAGGATTGATATTGAGATGTTTCGAAAGAAAGAACCCCCCGTTGACATTGCATTGGCATTGGTTTGGCAATGGTATGGCATCGCATTGGCATTGCGCTTGGCGGTGCGTTACTAGCGCTTGCATTTCGCAAGCGTTGCGCTGGCCAGTCCTAATGGAACCCTCCACAGAAGGACTCCGATCGACACCTTCTACAAGAAGGACTCTTACTGAAACCCTCCACAACAAACTGTTCATATTGACACCCTCCACATAAAGATTCCCTGCGAAGCCCTCCGCAGAGGGATTCCGATGGAAATCCGCAAAGGATGTTCCCCATTGGCAATGCATTGGCATTGGGCTGGGATCGCTGTGGCATTGGTGTGACATTGCGCTGGCACTGCGTTGACATTGCGCTGGCGAGTTCCAACACCTCCCTTCGCAGAATGACTCCTGATGAACCCCCCACACGAAGGATTCCGATTGAAGCATCCCACAAGAGAAGTTCACATTGAACTCCCTCGCGGAAGGATTACACTCGAAGCTCTCTATAGAAGGATTCTTATTGAACCCGACCGCAAACGATTTCCCTCAGCGGGGTTGCATTGGCATTGAATTGGGATCGCGTTGGCATTGGTTTGGCATTGCGGTGGTAATGCGTTGGCATTGCGTGGGCGAGTTCTAACGGCTCCCCCCACAGAAGGAATCATATGAAAACCTTGCACAATAAGAGATCCTTTTGAAAGCCCCCACATGAAGGATTCAAAATGACCCCCCACAGAAAGGCTCCAATCGAAACCCTATACGGGAGGATTCCTATCGACATCCCCCGAAGAAGGATTCGTAACCAAAGCATCCACATAAGGATTCCTAGTGAAATCTGTTGGAAGGCAGGAATCCCGCCATCGGCATTGCATTGGCATTGGTGTGGCAACGGTTTGACATCGCATTGGCAGTGCGTTGGCATTGCGATGGCAGTGCGTTAGCAGTGCGTTGTCATTACGTTGACATTCACCCCCACAAAAAGGATGCCGATTGAATCCCCCAGAAGAAGGGTTCAACTTGATATCCTCAACAGAAGGGTTCCATGCAAAGCCCTCCATAGAAGACTTCCTATTGAAATCCCCCGACGAAGGGCTCTTAGAAGGATTGCTATTGAAATCGACCACAAGCAATCCCCCCCATTGGCATTGCATTAGCATTGGCTTGGCATTGCGTTGGCACTGCTTCGGCATTGCGCTGGCGAGTTCGAATGGCTCCCACTACAGAAGGAACCCTTATCTTCCACAAGAAGAGATCCTGTTGAAATCCCCCCACATGAAATGTTCATACTGAAACCCCTCACGGAAGGATTCCAATCGAACCCCCCCACGGGTAGGATTCCTTTTCAAATCTACCACAAAGGATATCCCCCATTGGAATTGCATTGGCATTGAAGTGGGATCTCCTTGACATTGGTTTGGCATTGCGATAGCAAAGCTTTGACATTGCGTTGGCATTGCGCTGGCGAGTCCGAATGGCTCCCTCCGCAGACGGACTCCTACTGAAACCCTCCACAAGAACGATTCCGATTGAACCCCCCCGCATGAAGGATTCCGAGTGAAACCCTCCACATGAGAATCCGTATCGAAACCCTACACATAAGCATTGCTGTTGAAATCCTCCCAAAAAGGATTTGTAATGACATCATCCGCAAACTATTCTTATTGAAATCCACCGAACGAAAAAAATCTCCCATTGGCAGTGCATTGGCATTGGTGTTGGTTGGGAACGGATGTGTATCGCATCGGCACGCATTGGCCTGGTGCAGGAGATAGACCAAGAGAGAGAGAGAGACAGAGAGAGAGCGAGAGAGAGAATACTAGAGAACGATATAACGAGAAAATATTAGTATAAGGGGATCACAGCGAAAAGAAAAATGACAAAAAACAATCAAAGTTTAAGGGTGAAAG